ATGTCTATTGTGCTGAGATTTTAATATTTTCTGGTTGATTATTGAAACATCTGATCTAGGAAGCAAGGATACTTCCACAGGGGTATCGTGACAGTGTTGGACATGGTCAGGATGCAGCTGGACACATGTCTGATATAGTTAGAAGTGTTCTGAATAGTGAACTTAGTTAGACATGGTCAAGACACGGTTAGGACATGACTAGAAATTTTGTTATTAAAAAAATAACTTTTAATTATTGAAAAGAGTGTGATTTTTACATTTTTTTTGTAATATATTTTTTTATTATGTAACGTGTATACTATGAATATTAATAGATGTCAAGATGTTTGATGAAAATGATAGTTATTTAATTTGATCTATTTCAATTTTAATCAAAAAAATAATATTTGTTAGGTCTTATAATTAATATTGTTATAATATATGCTTTATTTTTAATATATTACAATTCTATTATTATTTAAAAAATATATTATATTATTTTAATAACCGTATCAATATCTATCTGTGTCCTATATTTTTAAACTTTTTCGTATCTCCGTGTTCGGACCGGTGCTTTCTTACATATGATAGTAATTTGCTAAACTTGTGCGGTTTGACAACCTGCCGCTGGTATCACCATTTGAAGGTTTAATGCTTATTTTCAAACGTTGTGTATAGTCGTCGGCAACACCAATCAAGGGAGATGCTAAATCAGGCCGTTTCCATATTTGCTCAGGCTTGGGAATCGTTTGACTGGACGAAACAGCTTGGCCAACTGTTTGAACTTTGCATAATTCTGTTTTTCTTTCTGAACTTTCTGATGTAATTAAATTAATTGTTTTTGAATTACTGATTTAACTTAGTTAAAACGATAGAGAATAATGTGTCTTGATGTAATGGTGCTTGGAACTTTTGAGTTCAATTTTTTAGAGCTAGAAGTTCCGGATAGACTGAAGAATTCAGATTTTTTTATTGTTTTTTTTAATAATTTTAGGATATTATTATAAAGATTTGTCAGTTTCTGTCCTAATTATTATTAAATACATTTTTAAGATTTTTTTAACTTATGTGTGTATTATGGTTCAATGAATCATACCATAAATTCAGGCATTTTGAATTCAAAACTTGAATTCTTTATGCTCCGTTTGGTAGGAAGGATAAAAAATAGGAGGGATACACTTTTTATCCTTCAAAGATGGAAAGTAGGAATGATACACTTTCCTTCCTTTATGTTTTTTTAGATGGATGAAAAATAAAAATGACTAATTTTTTTTTTTGAGTTGACTAAGATTAAGAGTGACAATCGACTTGTGTCGTGTTAGATTCGTGTTGAGTCATAAAATTATGAGCTTTTTATATTTCTTATTTGCGAATCAAGTCATTTTCAAGTTCGTGTTGAATTATAACCAAATTCGTGTAATAAAATTCGTGTCGAGTTCGAGTCATGTTAAGTCAAAAATTTTCATCCCTTATTAAGAAGAATTTTTTTTAATTTTTAATTTTTATTTTTAATTTTTTTAATATATATATAATAATAATAATAATAATAATAATAATAATAATAATACATATTTTATCATTATATTTTTATATGAAATTAATGTATACATAATATATAGACAAATAAGATACATTTTAACACAAATAATTAACTTTTCATCCACTTTCTTTCCAATTTTGGAGGGATTGATTTTGGTGAGTTGGTAGAAAAATTAATCCATTTATTTTTCCATTCTTCCCATTTTCCTTTCTTACCAAACAAGATGTTTTATTTATCCCTTCAACTTTCCATCTTTTTAACTTTTTGTCATTTCATTTTTCCATCATACCAAACGGAGCATTAGTCTTGACTTGAATGACTTGCTTTGATTGAACCGGAAATGAGATTAGTTAAGGTGCGCATAAATTGACCTAAATACCTTTCACTACAATACATTAAAAAAAAACAAAAACAAAACTAATGATATCCTAACCTTTGACAAAAAATGGAAAATTGATGTAATAGTAGTTGTTTGTCTTTTTTAAAAGAGAATTAATGCTTGACCGACTAAAAAAAGTGAAAAAAAAAACATAATAACGTTGTTTGTTCCATTTTTACATATTTGAAATTTAAATTTATTCCATTGCAATAATGTCACACCCTTTGTCTTTGTTTTTGGTGTTATTTTTCAATCAATCTAACACTACTCTATATTGAATTAGCAACACAATAATGTTACATTGATCAATTGTTTTGTACTTACATTTTTGTATTGTCACAAGGATTGTTGGATCAGTGAATCTTATTGTGTAAAGTACTTATTAGATCTTTTTGGTTGCACCACATCGGCTGGTACGATAAATTGGTAAAAAAAAAAAGGTTAATTATAAGTTGTACCTTAAAAGATAGTTAAAATTTTAAATTGTATCCCCAAAGATCAAAAATTTTAATTTACACCCTCAAAGATAAAAATTTGTATCAATGTGCACTTCCAAAGATAAAATCTCAATTTATACCCTCGAAAATAAAAGTTTGTATTAATGTGCACAAACGTCATGAGATAAAATCATTATAATTTTTGGTCTTATTATAATTTTTTATTAGGATAAAATCATATTTTTTAACGGTTATATTAACAGATATCAATAAAAAAGGATTACGTGTTACACGTGCACAAATGTCATGAGATGTAGGAGTAATATTCTAAATGTGAAGGGATCCAAATGCTTAAGTGACAAGCACGAGGGGATCTAGGTATAATTTATCAATTTAGTTTTAGGTGCACATTAATACAAAATTCTATTTTTGAGGATGCAAATTGAGATTTTTATCTTTGAGGGTGCACATTGATACAAATTTCTATTTTTGAAGGTACAAATTGAAATTTTTGATCTTTAGGGGTACAAATTGAAATTATAACTATCTTTCGGAGTGTGACTTGCAATTAACCCAAAAAAAAAAATTGGTAGAAATGTACTAGTTTTGAAGAAGGAAAATGCTTAAAAGGACATCTGCTAGCAGGAACCTGCAGGAAAATTAAGGCAAGGCCAGTCAAGTTTTCTTTCCCTACCCCAAGCAGTCTTAAATATTCCAATAACTCTCCTTTATTCAAAATATAGCCGTTGGCATACTGCAACGGCTACTTTCCTGAACAATCTAAAAAATTAGCTACTTGTAGAAGCGGCCATTAACCCCCTCCCAGCAAATAAATTGCTGATACTTCAGAGTTCACTCCAATTCTTTTTCTCTTTCTCTCTCTCTCTCTTGACAAACTCTTTTACAAGCTATGGACAAGCAGACTGTTGGAAGAAGATACTTCAGTGTGACTGAGGAGTACCCTGATGAAGATGTGATTGGAAATTTTCGTCTAGTCATGAAAATTTTCAATTTTAATACTCACAGCTCTATTCTGTTAAGTTCTTCCTTCACTTTCGTCTTGTGATATGTATAGTGACAATAAAACCATTTTCCTCGTGAGTGATGAATGAGCCACGCCCGCAACTGCCTACATTCTGGATCATCCGAATTGTGCGGGCGTGATTGAGTCACTGCAAGGAAAATTGCTTTTTCTTGGTACCGTTAAGTTCTTTGTTGACTCTCGTCTCGTGAAAGCCATGATTAAGCATGATTAAGGGTGTTAGATGAGCGTTATAACGTTAGGAAATTATCTTCTCAATATATCTTTTTTGGGTTTCAATTTCTGATTGGTAATGCCAAATTTCACCTTAGTCTATTCAGTGGCTAACGGGTGCCATCACACCCCATCTAAGATCAAACCATTTTTTTTTTGGCTAGACACTATTACTAGGGAGGGAGATGAAGAATGGGGAGAGACAAGCCGAGTCCAAGTTTGGATAGAAAACTAATGAGTTGAGCTGAGCCCGAGTTTAGAAAGAAAACTACTGAATCGCACCAAATCCAAGTTTGCACAAAAAATTAACAAGTCAAGCTTGAACAAGATGTCCGCAACTTGCCACAATTCAAAAATACCCTTCATTAATTAACGAGCCGAGCCCCTCAGTTTGATTTATATGCACCCTTATTGATATGTTAATTTTTTTTTCTTTTTAAAATTATGAAAGGTTAGCCTAGCAGCCATTGAGGTGGCTTGAAAGGAGCAAACAACACCCCAACCTTGTGGTCTTCAAAATGATAACTACATCTACAATATTGAGTCTAGTTGGACATTTCTACTGTTGTGCGTCTTCATGCCGCAGCCCAATCCTTTTGAAAACTTGATGCAAACTTCAGCTAAATCCTACTTCTCTTCACACTGACAAAATTGGGGCTGGTGAAAATTTTCCCCCTTAAAGATTTACATTTTCCATTTTGCCCATTGAAAGATCAAAAGTCAGAAATTGCATGTTGAAATTTTCAAATGGTTGTGAATCATGGTGGTGTACTTAGGTAATTCTAGACTGACAAAAAAAGAAAAGAAAACTAAAGTCATATGATGTGGCGCTAACATGATGGTTCTTTTGGTCTTAATTTTATTTATTTTAAATCCGAACTTTCTTCAACATGTCGGTGCCCAAAAATGCGACTTTTAATCTTTGAGACCACAATTTGGACAAATATACTTTCACTCTGTCAACTAGACCCCTTTTTTATGCCTCAATTATTAACGACTATTACATATTTAAAGAAAAATTATTTTATTTTGTCTTCCGAATTATGCAATTTTATCGCTTTGTCTCAACATGTGGAAATTTCTGTCTTAAAAGATAGCGGACGTTTGCAATTGGGGCTATCTGAAATAATTCAAGTAGTTGAGGGGGTAATATAAAAATTTCAATAGTTCAAGAGGGAAGGAGACATCAAGTCTATAGTTTAGGGGGTGAGAGTATAATTTGCCTTAAATTTTTAAACAAAGGACCATTCTATGTTGCAAGATTTCAACCTTTTCGACATCTTGGTTAGAAAGTCCAAAAAGGCCAACCACAAGCAGTCTATAAATAACCTCTCAATTACACCATTCATGTACAAATCAAGTGCAAAGCAATAGAAGGCAGCATAGCAAGAGAAAACCATAGCAGTAAAGATGGCAGCAGAATGTCCAGGACAAGGTAAAGCATAAGTTCTCTCGGTACTTTTTTAGAGCTTAAGGAATATATATATATATATATATATATATATATATATATTAAGCTACTACATGATCTTGTTATTATATAGGTAAGAGTTCATGGCCCGAGCTCCTCGGGACACCCGGAGAAACTGCTGCAGCAACGATCGAGAGGGAAAATCCTTCGGTCAATGCTGTGATTGTGGAAGTAGGATCAACAGTCACCACAGATATTCGTTGCGATAGGGTTCGTGTTTGGGTTAATACAAATGGTATTGTCACAAGGGTCCCTGTAATTCGTTAGGCTTGAAAGTTTACAGTTGCTGCTGAACTCTTGATAATAAATTAGTATGATGTGATATTGTGTTTGGAAGGAAGCCCCAACAATGGAGTTCATATTCTCCATGTATTAACTTGTGATGAAATAAGAGTGGCTTATTATTAAGTCTTAATGGTAATGTTTCTTGAAATAGAGTCTTGGACATTAAAGTATATGCTTTGTGTCACTTTGATTTTATTTTTTTTAATTGTGTCAGTTTTTAATTTGTATGACTTTGATTCAATAAAAAAGGCGTTTTAATTTAACTAACGAATTTATTCACCTGATTCGTATGTGACCATATTTAAGAGATCACTTTAATATCTCAAGATATATAACGTTTTTTATTGTTAGTTTATTCTTTATGTTTATGATTTGTGTCACTTTACTTTCTTAAGTATTTATAAAGTACCCTTCAAGCGTGGCCACGTGAGACACATCGACCATTTTGATTAGTCAATTTTAGCTGTAGATTTCGATTGGATCAAAGAGATAGAAATTAGAATCTTGAGGGACCAAATTGACCCTAAAATCTCTCTCTCTCTCTCTCTCTCATGAGTAACACCAATGCCTGTGCTTCTGGCATATTATGAGGGAAATATGATTGTTTTCTCTGGGGTATTTTCATTATAAGAACGCCTAAATTGAAAGTTTCAAGTTACGAAGACATCAAAAGACTTAACAAGCCTGTTCCTATGATGTTTCCAGTATGTAGATGATGGCATACAAAACAATGGACACGCAGCTTTTTAGCATAAAACCAGAATGCCATGACCAAATTGATGTGGCTATGTGACTTAATAAGAATTTAAAACGAGTTTGTAAATTGCTTAATGAGCATCACAACGCTACTAGCGTAACACCATTTGGTCAGAGAAGTCTAACATTATTCTTCATTGTATACTCGTCAAGGTAGAGTATGTGTGTTTACGTGGTTGATAGGGGTGCACCCCCTCCGGCCACCGCAATTGAGATCCAATCCGAAATATTTTAACCATGGATAAATTTGGTTAGAACTTGCACAAAGATTTTTTAATATTTTTTTCTAGCAATGTACAGTTTCCCTTTTCCCTCTAGGCTTCAGAAAGCGGGAATCTGCAAGGAAGGATAGAACCTATAGTTGTACGTCCTATGAGAATAAGGATAAAACAGAGAATAAAGACCTAAAATTGCTCGTTAGATAAAATCGATAATCGAAAGATGTCCATCAAAGAGTGAGAGGGATTGATTAGATTGTTTTCGACCAGGGTCGACTCTATCACAAGGGCAATAAAGTCTGCGCTTTAGGCCCCGTATATCAAGAAAATTCCAAATTTTTTAGGTGCATAGTTAGTCTAAATCAAAATTTTTATATCTATAAGATTTTATGCGTTAAAAACAATTCTATGAAAATTTAAACTCAACTAAAAATAAATTTGAGTAGTTTGGGCTCATGAACCCAACCCATAATATTAAAAATATACTAAAATAATTTTTTTAGAAAAAAATAAAATAAAAAGTTGAGGATTAAAAAAATAATTTTAATTAGTTAACCAAAACATACCATTCATTTGTAATCAAATCATTCTCTCTCTCTCTCTCTCATAAACTAAGACTCTCCCTTTCACTTATTCTCAAGTAAATACAAATTCTTTTTTTTTTTGTGTTATGATTTTTTTTTTATTTCTATTTTGAAAAGTAAACCAAATTTTTTTTTATTAAACTATAAAAATTAAAATCAGTAGATTATGATTGTTTAAAATTAAAATAGATAAAATCTTGCCTAAGATCGAGTTCACAATAAATATTAGACTATTTTTAATCTAAAAAATAATTTTTAAATAAAAAATTAAAAATAAAAAGTCTCATTTCTAGTTGTCACTCTATGCTTCAAATAGTCTTGGACCGCCCATGTCAACCAACATCGAAGGTTGCAAAGCCTTTAGAGTATGTTACCAAGTCATTTGCACAAAAATTTGAGGCGTTAGCATCTATTTGACTGAGTTCTAGTTGCATACTTATTTTATTTAATGTTGTATTAAGTATTGAAATTGAACAAAAAAAAAGGAAATTTTCTCTTTTTCTAACAAATAAAAATAATTCGACTAGTAGAAAGATAGACACGGGAGTTTTCGATTTTTCTGATGGAAAGAGAGATATAGCAAAGAAAGTGCTAAAAGAAAACGAAAAAGGTATATATAAATATTGATATTGTAGTAGTTTATTATACATAAAAATTAAAAAAAGCTATAAAGATTTTTTTTTTCTCCCTGTATGATTTAATTTTGTTATAAAATCATGTTCTAAGGAAAATAACGTGAGAAAAATCAAAGGAGGGACAACATTAAAGTGCCTCACGTTTTTATGAATGAGTTCACGAGTATGGGAGGCCCTATACACCCAAGACTTCCCACCCATCATTAAATTAGGTGGGTGCATTAAAGTATTTGGAGAATTTAGAGACTTGCTTCCACTTGATCTAAAATTTATTTTGCCCATCAAGGTGTGTGAAAAAATTTAAATACTTAAGTTACAAGGTTAATAATATTGTTAGTCCTTAAAGCATATATGTTTTGTTAGTTTTGTCCTTAAAATATTAATTTTCTCAATTTAATTTCTAAAATATCCAATTCTTGTTTAAATGGTTCCTTCATAGGTAAATCGTTAAGTTTTTTATTGAATGATCACGTGTTGGTCACGTGATATCATCTGAAAGAATAACATGTGGCCACGTCCGTAAAAAAATTTAACGAATTGTCTGATTGGTGACTAAAGTGACACAAATTGAAAATTTAATGATTAAATTAACAAAATTAATACAATGAAGNATATTTTTTTCTAGCAATGTACAGTTTCCCTTTTCCCTCTAGGCTTCAGAAAGCGGGAATCTGCAAGGAAGGATAGAACCTATAGTTGTACGTCCTATGAGAATAAGGATAAAACAGAGAATAAAGACCTAAAATTGCTCGTTAGATAAAATCGATAATCGAAAGATGTCCATCAAAGAGTGAGAGGGATTGATTAGATTGTTTTCGACCAGGGTCGACTCTATCACAAGGGCAATAAAGTCTGCGCTTTAGGCCCCGTATATCAAGAAAATTCCAAATTTTTTAGGTGCATAGTTAGTCTAAATCAAAATTTTTATATCTATAAGATTTTATGCGTTAAAAACAATTCTATGAAAATTTAAACTCAACTAAAAATAAATTTGAGTAGTTTGGGCTCATGAACCCAACCCATAATATTAAAAATATACTAAAATAATTTTTTTAGAAAAAAATAAAATAAAAAGTTGAGGATTAAAAAAATAATTTTAATTAGTTAACCAAAACATACCATTCATTTGTAATCAAATCATTCTCTCTCTCTCTCTCTCATAAACTAAGACTCTCCCTTTCACTTATTCTCAAGTAAATACAAATTCTTTTTTTTTTTGTGTTATGATTTTTTTTTTATTTCTATTTTGAAAAGTAAACCAAATTTTTTTTTATTAAACTATAAAAATTAAAATCAGTAGATTATGATTGTTTAAAATTAAAATAGATAAAATCTTGCCTAAGATCGAGTTCACAATAAATATTAGACTATTTTTAATCTAAAAAATAATTTTTAAATAAAAAATTAAAAATAAAAAGTCTCATTTCTAGTTGTCACTCTATGCTTCAAATAGTCTTGGACCGCCCATGTCAACCAACATCGAAGGTTGCAAAGCCTTTAGAGTATGTTACCAAGTCATTTGCACAAAAATTTGAGGCGTTAGCATCTATTTGACTGAGTTCTAGTTGCATACTTATTTTATTTAATGTTGTATTAAGTATTGAAATTGAACAAAAAAAAAGGAAATTTTCTCTTTTTCTAACAAATAAAAATAATTCGACTAGTAGAAAGATAGACACGGGAGTTTTCGATTTTTCTGATGGAAAGAGAGATATAGCAAAGAAAGTGCTAAAAGAAAACGAAAAAGGTATATATAAATATTGATATTGTAGTAGTTTATTATACATAAAAATTAAAAAAAGCTATAAAGATTTTTTTTTTCTCCCTGTATGATTTAATTTTGTTATAAAATCATGTTCTAAGGAAAATAACGTGAGAAAAATCAAAGGAGGGACAACATTAAAGTGCCTCACGTTTTTATGAATGAGTTCACGAGTATGGGAGGCCCTATACACCCAAGACTTCCCACCCATCATTAAATTAGGTGGGTGCATTAAAGTATTTGGAGAATTTAGAGACTTGCTTCCACTTGATCTAAAATTTATTTTGCCCATCAAGGTGTGTGAAAAAATTTAAATACTTAAGTTACAAGGTTAATAATATTGTTAGTCCTTAAAGCATATATGTTTTGTTAGTTTTGTCCTTAAAATATTAATTTTCTCAATTTAATTTCTAAAATATCCAATTCTTGTTTAAATGGTTCCTTCATAGGTAAATCGTTAAGTTTTTTATTGAATGATCACGTGTTGGTCACGTGATATCATCTGAAAGAATAACATGTGGCCACGTCCGTAAAAAAATTTAACGAATTGNGTACACTAAATCTGAGAGTGATTCAAGGCCGTTGAGTGGACCCCACATTTGGTTCATCGATGCTGACAAGTAACGGAGTGACGACGGCATTGGACTCGGCAGCATTCCCGATAATTTGTTGCTCTTCAGATCCAAGTGGAGTAACTGAGCCGGCAAGTGGGGAACCTCGCCGGTTAACCTGTTTCCGGCCAAAACCAGGACCCTTAATTGAGCTAACTCGGAGATTCGGGCGGGGACAGAACCAGTGAGTTGGTTGTTGCTGAGATCGAGAGTGTGGAGGTTGGGTAGGGTGGAGATGGTGGTGGGTATTGGACCAATTAAGCGGTTGTTGGTGAGAGAGATGACTCTGAGATTCTTGAGGTTTCCCAGTTGGGTAGGTATGAGACCGGTGACAATGCCGGAGAAGAGGACGAGTTGGGTTAACTCGGTGAGTTTGGAGAGGGAGGGGGAGAGTTTGCCGGAGAGGCCGGGGGAGTCCGATAATCCGGTGCCGAGAGTGAGAGTGGTGACCCGTCTGAGGGAGCAGGTGACGCCGGAGAAGGAGGAGCAAGGGTCAGGCGAGGTAAAGTCCCAAGTGGAGAAGAAAGCAGCGGCGGTGGTGCCGGAAGGAATGTCTGCGAGGGAGTCCTTGATTTCATGCAACGCCGCCAGGTCGGCGGTGCTGATCGGTGGTAGAAGTGGTTTTGTTGAAGAGCTATGGAGTAGGAGTAGTAGTGCAAGTACGAAGAGAGAGTCACGTTGGGACATTTTTTGGAGAAAGGGAGAGAGAGAGAATCTGATTGAAAAGGGGTAAAACTGAGGTCCAAGTTTTGTTGGAAAAGGGGAGGAACGTTACGAGGAATATGGTGATTGTGAGGTTTATCTGCCTCTCATTCATGAGGGTTCAGTGGAATTCATGTGGGCTCAGTAGAGAGAGAGAGAGAGAGAGAGAGATTACTGTAAACTTGGGCGTGGAAGACTAATACAAAACAGTGTGAGCAATTGTGGATAACTTGGTAAGGGTGCATGTTTTGGTGGCTCACATTAGGAATGTCAATTTTACTTGGATTTGGGTTTAATTTGAATTATGCAATGGTAAATCATACTTTAGGTGTTAAATAAATGAGTCAATATAAGTTTTATTAAATATGACAAAAATTCATTAAACCCGATTTCATATAGGATATTAACTTAAGATAAAATGAACTCGGTTATATATGTCACGTTAGTACTTGTTTCTCTAACATACAATTTTGTGCATTTTTAATTTGTGGGGATCTTAGGAAGTGGATTTATTTGGAAGAGAAGAAGATTTGATCTTAGGAAGTGGATTTATCTCGAGGTAATTTGAGGCTTAAAGAAAAAATATTAAATGAGATCTTATTATTTTTAGTATTAATTTTAAAAAAAATTAATTAATTTTAATTTTTTCATGTCAAAGAGACTGAAGAAAGATGTGCTAATAAATATATTAANCTAAAATTTGGTCAGTATAATATTATTTGAAAAAATTCCTCATTACAACTCAACGGATGATTCTAGTTGTAAAAATTGTAAATTTAAATATTTTAAATCTGAATTTTGATAACTTCTGGGATCAGATCACGAGAGTCTTATCTCTAATCTCGGTTTGAATGATTTAATTTTGAATGAACCGATAAGAGATTAATCTTTAATGAATAGTTTAACGGTAGTGCGGATGCACTGCGTTTGAGTGATCTGAGGAATAGAGTAGTCACTGCGTTTGAGTGATCTGAGGAATAGAGTAGTCATAAGAAAAGAAGAAGATTTGGGCAGAATGCAAACAAACAGAAAAATAACCATATATTAATTTTCCCAAATACCATTATCACAGTATTCCTGTAAAAATCTTCATGAAATTTTCAAACAAAATACAACAGAAATCAACACTATAATGTAAACTTATCTTCCTGCAACTATGTGCACATGTGAAGGAAATACATATAATTCTCAAGCTATTTTATACATCATCATCAAAACATCTTCGTCAAGAAACTTGAGTTCTAATGACGACCACCCAAAGAAAGAAGAAAGGTGTAAGGCAACGCATTGAAGTGGTCCTGTAAAAGTTAACCAATGGAGCTTCCATTATTGAACACGGAGCACTGACACAATGGCCTCGAAAGCAGCCCTCCAGAGCTTTCCGGGCACGCCGTGAGGCCCACCGGTGGTACCATGCAGTTGTAATTCAAGCACAATGACACGGAGTCCGGCAACGCCGATCCGGGTTCCACCGGAAAATGGGTTATATAATTGTGTTGCAAGTACAATGTTTTGGTGGTTCCCTTGTACACGCTCTCAACGTACAATTTTGGTACAGTTCCGATGAGACGATTGTTATTCAAGAAGACACTCTCCACATCGGCCAGAACTGGAGACAATTCTCCGGTTAGGAAGTTGTGACTGAGGTCCACCATTGATCCCGGCGGGTAGGTGGGTGGTGATGGTGGTGGTGGAAGTAGAGGAGGGACCCCACCAGACAAATTGTTCCGTTGGAGAAGCATTGACGAGAGAGAGGGACGGAAGAGAGAGAAAGGGATGGCCCCATTGAAGTGGTTCATGCTTAAGTCGAGGTACACTAAATCTGAGAGTGATTCAAGGCCGTTGAGTGGACCCCACATTTGGTTCATCGATGCTGACAAGTAACGGAGTGACGACGGCATTGGACTCGGCAGCATTCCCGATAATTTGTTGCTCTTCAGATCCAAGTGGAGTAACTGAGCCGGCAAGTGGGGAACCTCGCCGGTTAACCTGTTTCCGGCCAAAACCAGGACCCTTAATTGAGCTAACTCGGAGATTCGGGCGGGGACAGAACCAGTGAGTTGGTTGTTGCTGAGATCGAGAGTGTGGAGGTTGGGTAGGGTGGAGATGGTGGTGGGTATTGGACCAATTAAGCGGTTGTTGGTGAGAGAGATGACTCTGAGATTCTTGAGGTTTCCCAGTTGGGTAGGTATGAGACCGGTGACAATGCCGGAGAAGAGGACGAGTTGGGTTAACTCGGTGAGTTTGGAGAGGGAGGGGGAGAGTTTGCCGGAGAGGCCGGGGGAGTCCGATAATCCGGTGCCGAGAGTGAGAGTGGTGACCCGTCTGAGGGAGCAGGTGACGCCGGAGAAGGAGGAGCAAGGGTCAGGCGAGGTAAAGTCCCAAGTGGAGAAGAAAGCAGCGGCGGTGGTGCCGGAAGGAATGTCTGCGAGGGAGTCCTTGATTTCATGCAACGCCGCCAGGTCGGCGGTGCTGATCGGTGGTAGAAGTGGTTTTGTTGAAGAGCTATGGAGTAGGAGTAGTAGTGCAAGTACGAAGAGAGAGTCACGTTGGGACATTTTTTGGAGAAAGGGAGAGAGAGAGAATCTGATTGAAAAGGGGTAAAACTGAGGTCCAAGTTTTGTTGGAAAAGGGGAGGAACGTTACGAGGAATATGGTGATTGTGAGGTTTATCTGCCTCTCATTCATGAGGGTTCAGTGGAATTCATGTGGGCTCAGTAGAGAGAGAGAGAGAGAGAGAGAGATTACTGTAAACTTGGGCGTGGAAGACTAATACAAAACAGTGTGAGCAATTGTGGATAACTTGGTAAGGGTGCATGTTTTGGTGGCTCACATTAGGAATGTCAATTTTACTTGGATTTGGGTTTAATTTGAATTATGCAATGGTAAATCATACTTTAGGTGTTAAATAAATGAGTCAATATAAGTTTTATTAAATATGACAAAAATTCATTAAACCCGATTTCATATAGGATATTAACTTAAGATAAAATGAACTCGGTTATATATGTCACGTTAGTACTTGTTTCTCTAACATACAATTTTGTGCATTTTTAATTTGTGGGGATCTTAGGAAGTGGATTTATTTGGAAGAGAAGAAGATTTGATCTTAGGAAGTGGATTTATCTCGAGGTAATTTGAGGCTTAAAGAAGAAATATTAAATGAGATCTTATTATTTTTAGTATTAATTTTTAAAAAAATTAATTTATTTTAATTTTTTCATGTCAAAGAGACTGAAGAAAGATGTGCTAATAAATATATTAACTTTTGTTTTTTTCTTTTATCAGAAAGAGAGAGAGTTTTGATTTCAACTCTTGTTTCAATTTTTTAATTTTTTTTATTGGAGAGAGAAGGAATGGGGAAAATATAAGTTGATTTTTGAATACTTTTTTTTTATTTATTTTTTTAACTTTTGATTTTTAAAATTTTAATGTTATGAATTAGATCATGGATCAAAATTATTACAATTGGACTTAATTTTTTGGGGCTTTTTCTAAGGTTTAAAATTTATTGAATTTAAATTTTTTTGTAAGCTAGAAATTTATCTAAAATTATGGGACCTTTTAAAAATTTGGGGTCTAAAGTCCAAAATTTATTTTTTATATTGTTGGCCCAGCCCTGGATTTGATCCTAAATTCTAACGGGTTAGAACATGGTGAGATAACCAATGGGTCGATACTGTCAGAACGATAAATTTATTTGGTCGGCTAAATTTTTATGAATAATTTTTTTGGAAATTAAAGAAGAAATATAATTTGTTGACCAATGTGACAGTCATGTGGTCTAAATAGTGTTATTGTGACAATAATTTTTGAATTTATTTATTGGAATTTCATCATTTACAAATTATTATATTAAAAAATATTTTTTTTTATTTTTTTTTTAGATTTTGAAAGCATTACTCAGTTTTTAGATATGCAAATGACTCATAGTGCCCTTGTAAGCGTGGTCTTCAACGCATAGAGTTCCAACCTTGGCACCACTTTCTTTTCTGATACCAATTATTACTAGTGACCACATGAGGGCATGCCTTGCCTTGCAATGGGCATTAACAATGTCATGTACCCAACGGCTTTATCGGCACCATTGGCAAAGCTGTAGCTAGCGACGCTCCGGTCCACGGTACCCTTTAAGGAAGGGGTCACCCAATAACATAATTAGTAATGCTCTTTTTATATAATTTAAGAATTTAATATATTATTATTGGATTAAAAATAAATTTATCATGAAACCTCTGACCGTGTCCGTTACTCCTCTCGAGAATGAACATAATAAGCTAGTATAGTGACCAATCATCGAGCTTCAATATGAACTTTAAGACTCAAACCTCTAATCTCAGTGTGAGAAATTCGGCCGGTACTCTACTGGACCACCCCACTCGATAATTCTATTCATCATAATCATTGAATAGGTAATAAATTTCAATAAATATTGAGACAATTATATTGCAAATTAGATTCGCTAAAGTTAATTGATAAATTTTTGGGGTCAATTGTAAAATTTTAAATAAATTTTTGTAGAAATTGTCTCACTCTCACCCACTGGAGAATATGCATCACACATGATGTGCTTAGCCAAAGAAGAAGATCACAAATTCTCAAAATAGAAGAATACAAGAATGTGACTAAGAGATTAGGGATATCTATCTAATATAATGCTTTGAGAAATAACTTATAAGAGTATAATAATGGTCAAGATTGATTTACTTTTTATCTATTTTAATCTAATGATACAAAATTCATCTCAAATTTTTTTTTTTCTGCCAAAAATATTTTTTTCTTTGTACACTTTTTAATACCAAACAACTTCACTAATCTATACTTATATTTCTCTGCTCTCTCCCTTACCTCTCTTATCTTGTCTCTATTCACTTTAATTTTAAATTACGTAATTAAATAAAAAAAGAAAATATAATTTATTATTTAAAATATAAAATTTACATGATCAATACTCGATTTTTGGTATTGCAATGTATTTTCAAACACAAAGATTATTGCTAATATATATAGATAAATATATAAGTTGTCAAAATCAAATTTTGTAGGATATACAAGAATATTATTCATTTTAAATAAAATTGAGAAAATAAATTTGAACTTATCTATTTTACATGTAAAAATACCAAATGTTTTATTTTTCATTTAATAAAAATATATCACGTGTAAAGTAGTTGTTATATTTATTATTTAATTATTTTTTCATTTAACTATAAGTTATCCCATTCAGAATTAATTGCTGAGATAGATAAAGGTGGGGTATCGAAATTGATCAGGTAGCATTATCCATACATACCACCCAAAATAAACGATGCTTCAACCTTGCATGCATGGATGAAAATTTTAAAGTTAATAGTATGCATTTTTTTTTAGTTTGATCTTTAAAGTATTAATTTTGTCAATTTGGTCACTAAAATATTTAATTTGTGTCACTAAAATATTTAATTTGTGTCACTTTGATCCCTAAACAGATAATTCGTTAACTTTTTTGACTGAAGTGACTACGTGTCACTTTTTTAATCGGTATCACATGTCCAACACGTAATTATTTTGTTAAAAATTTAACGGTCCGTTTATGTAGGGGCCATTTTGACAAAAAATGAATAATTTAAGGACAAAATTGATATTTTAAATACCAAACTGACAAAAAAATTTACGTTTTAAGGACCAAAAGTTTTATCAACCCAAAATTTTATCTTTTTTTTTCAATGGTCAGGAGTGTTCGGGCTAACTTTTGTGCAATTTGACTAATATTTTCTTCGATCCGATCAAAAATAGATCATTTACACAAAAAAAGAATAAGGTATTTATAGAAAAAATTTATGTCTCACTGGTCAAATAGTTATACTAAAGAAGCATAGATTGCAAACATGCCATTATATAAGCCTTTACTATATTGGTTAAATGACTCGATTTGAGTATTCGACAAAGTTGGTTATATGAGTATTCTGTAATTTTAATCTAAAAGTACTTGAAGCTGCACGGAAGCCAACGTTCGATTTTAATGGAGGCTCAAGCTCTAGTTCAATAGTTCTGGTCTTCAAAATCAACGATCAATTCCCTTTTTTATCTTCTTCAATCTGGATCACCCACCGCTAATGATGGGTCCTAGTAATGGGTGAAAAATGATTTGATGGTGGAACGATTTGAATTCAAAAGAAAACAATAAAAAAAAAAACTCTGAAAATGAGAAAATCCCAATCCATTGGTGAAGGTCGCAATATTGATATTTGACTTAGAAAATATTGATACCCACAAATCATGGTGTCGCGGAATCATGCATATATAAGAGAAGAAGTTATGTATAACAAAAGATTCAATCTATATCGCAACGTCACGTTATGTGTAGCCTAATTGATGACAATGATATGAAAAATTGGTGGTTTACTCAATGAGTTTTAGTTTGTTCAACCAAAAGAAGTGAGACTCGTAATTTACACATAACGTATATTGATCTAAAAAAAAAAGCTGTTTAGTTGAAAATAACTCAATTGAATTATATCAATGTTTTGAATCATAAGGCCACCCACCTCTTGCTTTTCAAAAATGATAACTACAATTGTTATTATACATGGTTGCACATGTTTAACTCAAGCCTATTTACCAATAAGTCTTTGGTCCAATAGAACTCTTTATCTTGTAAAGACTCTGTCTTCTTGAGGTTAAGGGTTCAAACCCCTTTCTCCCTTCTCCCCAAAAAAAAAAAAAAAAAAACTCAAGCCTATTGCAATAAAAATTCATGTACCTGCCTTTCAGCATGCAGCCAAGCTTCAGCTATATCCCACTTTCTCTTGCATTGGAAAGCTTCAATGTTTTGAGATATAACGGCTAGGACGTCCAAAAAAACCAACCGGAAGCCATCATGTTCTTGGACTATGAATACTCAGCTATTTTACTATATGTTAACATCAATCACAAAGAAAGACCAAGGTAGCATACAAGAAAGAATAGCATAGATTGAGGATGTCATTTTGCAGAGTTATACAAGTTTTATAGATAAGAATATTTCGTAGATGAGCCTATCGGATTTTTGATCCAAATCTGATCCACNATAGCCGATTCCATCCGATCCAAAGTATATGTCTATAAATATATGATGAAACAAGTAAAAATTCAGTTGTTATTTCTCAAAATTCAGGTTAATTAATTTCTTCATATTGAATTGTTTTTTTTTAATGTTATTAGACGAATTTGGATATTTGAATCATATTCGATCCAAGTCTTTTCCAAGGATTGGGATTTGGATTAGGCAAAATTCAATTCAAATCTGATTTAATGACTGACCCATCTCTAAAGCTTGAATGCCAAAAGCAGAAATTATATCTATTGATCTAACTGACTGTTTGTGCCAACTTAGGTAAGAGTTCACGGTACGAGTTCCATGGGGCAAAGGGAGAGACTGCTGCAACAACAATTGAGGAGAATCCTTTGGTCACTGCTACGATCGATCGTGTTGGAGGGTTTATCTGTAACTGATGATTTTCGTTGTGCTAGGGCTGGCGTTTGGTAATAATGTAGATATATGATTGTTCAAAATGCTCCACCTAATGGAGTTCATAGTCTCCACGTATTGTATCTTATTGTCAGACCCTAACTGACTTGAG